GGGGGGGGGGGGGGGGGGGGGGGGGGGAAGAGGCTGCTGGGCTCGGTCTTGTCCCGATCTCTGAACGAAGCTTTCAGCTTTGTACACTTTGTGAAAGGCGCGGGCGGGGTGGGGGGGGGGGGGGGGGGAGAAGAGGAGGAGGTGCCGTCAAATCAGCTCCCCTCCACCGAGGAGGGCCGGGAAAGCCAGCTCCCGGCTCGTCCTTTTTAATATTAAAATACCCGTCTAAGGTAGGTGGACTACTTTTTTTTTTTTTTGCAAGCCTTTGGAGGCTGGGAAGAAGCGGCCGGTCGCCTCCTCAAGGGGCTGGGTTGCGGACCGGGAGCGGGCGAGCCTCCTCCTCCTCCCTCGCCTGGACACTTTTTTAATTTGTTGGTTGGTTTTGTTTTGTTTCTCGAACCGCCAGCTGGAGTGAAGGGCATAGTTTGCCTTGGAAAGTTGAGGGGTGTTTAAAAGAAAAGAAAAGAAAAGAAAAGAAAAGAAAAGGCTGGTTTTATTCCCGCTCTGGAGATATGAAGATATATACAAAGCACCAAACAGCAACCTTGAAGGGCGAGATCCACGGCTGAGTTCTGCCGCTTGGAGGGGTGTTTGAATGTGTATACACGGGAGGGAGAGAAAGAGAGAGAGAGAAAAAAAAAGAGGGGGGGGAAGATTGCCTAGTGGGGAAAAATAAAAGAGAGAAAGGGAGAGAGAAAAGAGGGAGGAAAGGAGATTTTCCTAGTGGGGAGAGAAAGAGAGAGAGAGAGAGAGGAAAAAGGGAGGGAGGGAAGATTGCCTAGTGGGAGAAAAAAGAGAGAGAAAAGGGAGGGAGGGATTGAGGGAGAATTGCCTAGTGGGGGAAAAAGAAAATAAAAGAGGGAGGAAGGGAGGATTGCCTAGTGGGGGAAAAGAGAGAGAGAGAAATAATGCAGACATGTTGTCCCTCCTTTTCCTCCGCCCCCTCCCATCTCCACCCAGAATTAGCATAAGAGTTGCAACCGTCATTTGAATTAAAAAAAAAAAAACACTCTTTCGAGAAAGTTGCGGAAACTTTGTCAGGCTCGGGTCGAGTTAGTCGTTAAGGGCTCCGGAGGGCGAGGAGAAGGGGCGGGGGGTGGGGCAGAGTTGGGGCTTTGCAAGGGGACTGGGTGCAGAAGGTGACAACAGCGGGATGTCCCGTCTCCCTAGTAGGGAGTTGGGTGAATCCCCGCCGCTGAAAGATCTGCCCTCTCTCTTTCTCTCTCTCTCTCTCTTTCACACACACACTCTCTCTCGCCCGATCGCTCCCCTCCCTTCCCTCCCCCCCTCTCCTCCCCGCTTTCCCGCGGCCAGCATTTGGGGCTGGAAAGCATGGTGAACCTCGCAGCAGCAGCGGCGGCGGCGGGCGGGGAGGGTTGCTTATCCCATCTATTCCGTTGGGCGGATCAGATCGGTGGTTTCCCCAAAAGCCTTCGGGACCGGAGAGGTAGCTGCTACCGACGTTTTGTGGTGGCCTCTGGGAGATTTGTGCTCGGTGTTTTATTTAAATCTAGATGCGCTCCCTACCTCTCACGATCCACATTGGCAATCTTAGGCTGGGCTTATATTTGCATGGGTTTGTATTGTGTGTGTGTGTGTGTATCAGAGGAAAGGGAAAGGGGGGGGGGGTGTCTAACCTGTGGAATTTGAAATGCAAATCACCGCCTGTGGGAGTTGAGGCAGAACAAATCAGCATTTATCAAGTAGGAAAAAGATTTAATGTCTTCGAAGGCGTGGGGCGAATTCTCTCCCCTATTTGGGGAAAAAGCAGTAGTGGATCCTGACGTCAATCCCTCCTGTGTTGTGTGTGTGTGTGTGTGATATTGTTGTTAATGTCTGATGCGGGTGTATGAAGTGCTTACAGGAAAACAGATTACAAGATTAACATCTGCTAACATGATCGTTTATCTCCTGCCAAAAATAGGTCAGTCCACTCCTTTCTTAAGGAAGTACAATGACTGGCACATGCTTAAATAATGAAATTAGACTAATGAGTCCATACCTTACATGGAGGGGAAGGTAGGGGCTTTCCAATCCAACTGGGCTACTGTTAAAAAATAATACTGAATTTGAAGAGAGCAATATAAGGTTAAAGCTTTCAACAGAGCAGTAAAGCCTCCTCTCTCTCTATGCCACCAGCCTTTCCTCCTCCCCCCCCCCCAACCTCCTACTGAAACTCTATGAATATTTTCCATCTCTGGTGCTATTGGTTAAGGCGATCAACTCCTACCATGAACATGGATGTTTCTTTCCTAAACTTTTTTTTTTAAAGTGAGGGGAAAGGAGAAGAAGGGGATAATTAAGTGGCAAAGAAGAAATGGGTGAAATGATGCTGTTTAGCTTAGTCCTGCCCTCTAGGAGAGACTGGCAGCCTCGCCCTCCAATCATCAGTTCTCACCTCTTCCTGTGTTTGCATTGCAACTCCAACATTTCGGGCTGGAAGAGCTCTTCCCTTGTATTTTCTACATGCTTCTTCTGCCTTTGTTGGGCTAGGCGCCAGAATCCAGATAGGTAAACGATACCTTCGCCCAGCCGCACCACCCATCTGCTGTCAACCAAAATTCAGTCCTGAAACCAGAACTGATCGTGAATAGAATTGTCATAAGGTGGTGGTTTCAAGTATCAAGCTGAGATCTGGGGGAGGCGAGGAAGTATAGAATATAGAATGATCTGTCGGTGTGTTTGAACAATGTAGCAGACTTGCTTATCTTGGGGGGTTGGGGGAGAGTGAGGAGAGTGTCCAAAAAATACACCCATTGCGACTTCAAGAATGTGATTATTTATATCCATTTAAGAGTCATTGCTATAAAAGGACTTTTTAATGTGTGGCAGGATCACACTGAATCTATAACACAATAGGGGGTTGAGTTCTTCATGGTTTTCAAAGGAAACTACTGTGTAACAATCCCCCCCCCCCTCTATAGCTCACTGGATAATGCAGCATCCTGTTAATCCTTTTTTTTTTGCACTGATTAGATTTTTAAATTATCACAAACATAACTTTAGACAAAAAGAAATACTTAGAAGTTCATTTCAGAAAATGTCAGACCTAACTGTTCTGGTACAAAAGAACGACTAGTGGCCAACATATTTCATGAATGCTATGAATAATTATCATTTCTTTACCACACAATAAGCACATTCAGTAACTAAAGAGCTGGAAAGCTCTCTGCCTGTCATGGATCTGGCCCTGTTCTTTTACTTAAGAAATGCCTCCCTTTGTCATTCCATCCGTTTTCCCCAATATCAATATTATAACAAGTTTCTGGCTTCAGATCATGAACATATTGTCTGTTAGTATGTACTGTACAGAGGGTTTGGGGCAAAAGAGATTGCCGTGTTTTTAAGGTGAAATGCTTGATTTCTTGCTGGCTTTTTATCTTCTACGTTGGGATAAAGGGGTGGGATGGACAATTCAAGAACTAAATGCAACCTTTTGTGTTGAAGCCAACTGCCCACTTCACTCTGGAGATGATCAGAACTATTTCTTGTTAGAGAGAAATCTGAGCATGTTCAAAGAGAGTCCTTTATGCTCTGGCCATGTGCCACATACTTTAATTCATAGCTGATGCACTAAATGAGTTAACTAGCAAAGAGTTTTTCATTAACTCACTTGGCAGCCATATATTTAAATTTTAAGAGGACAGAATACCTCAGTAGGAACGTTTAGCTATTCAGTTACATAGTTTTAGAATTAGATTTGTTTTTAAGCTATTTCCTCATACGCCTTTTCTTTAATTTCAGGCAAATGTGTGTGCAATGGGTGAGGCAGTGTACCAGCATTATTGTTCAGCAGCTTTTTGTATATGCAAGCAATAATTTAATAGAAGACTTGTTCCTTGAATTTCTGGGTTGCTAGTCCCCTTTGTTTACTAGCACTGGATTACATTTACAATTACATATTATGGAATCAGTAAAAGTATTTTAGAAAAAGTAAACTCGACCTTAGCATAAAGCCTTCATATTTGGTTGCTTTCATGTTTGACAGTATAGCTTGCTTTGTGTGTTTATTTGTAAATTAGCTGTGGTTGTGCTTTTGAAAGGAAATCTACTGAAATTGGTGGTACAGACTTCTGAGTATATATTGAGTCAACTTGCATAAATTGATTCCTTTTGTGATGCAAAAGGAAACTTGTCTTGACTGTCCATGCATCTGAAAAAAATATCTCTTTTGTTTTTGCTCAAAAGTGAGCAAAGGAGTTAGATGGGTTCAAAGGTCTATTCACAGCATGTTTAACTTGAAATAATTCCCTCTTGCCTTCTTTTCGAAGTTACTTGCATAGAAAGTGGCAGCTGAAAGTATAGTCAATTCTCTTGACTACTCAGAATAGAACAGAATTCTTTATTGTCCAACTGTGATTGGTCACACAAGGAATTTGTCTCCGGTGCATAAGCTCACAGTGTACACATAAACAGCAAGTAATAGGTCATAATAAAGTAATAGATATAAGCTCTATTGAGTTAGAGTGATCTTACTTCCAGATAACTGCGTTTTACTCAAATACATTGGATGAAAGTCCTAAATATCAGTCCTCTATATCCTTACCTGGGAGTTAATCTTATTTTAAGCACAACAGGTCTTATTCAGGACAGATAATTGTACATTGTCTCTTATTATTATTTCAAACAATTACAAGGTGGTCAAAGTCCAAATGCTCTTTGGGGTGAGGGATGGCAAACAACATTTGACTTTTACTGTGCTAGTA